TTAATGAATATTTTACTAGTAACACCGGACTAATGCAAGGTGAAACACTCTCCCCTTTATTATGTTCCCCAAACGAAGTTGGGGAACATATTGTTTTTACTCTGTTTCTTATTATGTTCCCCAAACGAAGTTGGGGAACATATTGTTTTTACTCTGTTTCTTATTATTATTATTATTTTTCTTCTTCTTCTTCTTCTTCCTGGAACTTTTTTGTCCGGGAATAATCTTGTAAACTGTTCGTCCGATGTAGGTAAAACCTTTTTAGGGTTAGTAGACATGTTATGTAGATTTGCGGAATCAAGGTCATTTTGCGCGCACGTGCTTGCAAGAGCGTGCACGTGCAACACGTGAAATGACCAATATAATAGATATAGCCACAACTGTTCTATTTTTAGATGAAATGCTTTGAAACTCATAATGTGAGGATATATTAGTAGTATAGACATGACGACATGGTGAAAATAGCAAGATCTCACGCGCATGCACGTGCACTTCGCTCTGATTGGCTGCAACTAAAGTCTCAATATCTTTCTTGTTTTTTGACGAAATCCTTTGAAATTTTGAACATAGCCATGCATTAGAATATCCTACAACTTGAAGTAAAGCAATTATCATGAAAACACGTGCATGCACGTGCGCTGCAATCTGATTGGCTGAAACTTTAAACAGCTATAACTCCCTTGGTTTTCAACCAAACAGGATGGGATTTGGAACATAGATAGATATAATGGACTTCTACAAGTAGGTATGGTCACCATGCACATGCATACACGTGCGTGTACATGTGCTGCAATCTGATTGGCTGAAACTTTAAACAGCTATAACTCCCTTAGTTTTCACCCAAACGGGGTGGAATTTAGAACATAGATAGATGTAATGGACTTCTACAAGAAGGTATGGTCATCATGCTCATGTATGCACGTGCGTGCACGTGAAATGAGTAAAATCAAACATACACTTGAATGAGCGTATTTTTTAAAAATAATTTTGGATTAAATACTTTAATATTCAGTGTATTAAAAATATAGATTGTGTAGACAAGATAATATGGTCATGACGCAAATGCATTCACATGTGCACATGTGCAATGCTAAAGTTTAAATGATTTTTGTACACTTCTTTCTAAATTTGTTAAAATCTCAGATGCACAGAGTTTGTCTTATTTAATGAAGCTTACAGGGAATATGGCACCAAAAGGGAGTTGGGGAGCGTTTGGGGAACATCTGTAACGGTCCCCGTTACAATTAGCACTAGTTATTATTATTTTTCTTCTTCTTCTTCCTGGGTACTTTTTTGTCCGGGAGTGATCTTGTAAACTGTTGATCCGATGTAGGTAAAACCTTTTTAGGGTCAGTAGACATGTTATGTAGATTTGCGGAATCAAGGTCATTTTGTGCGCACGTGCTTGCAAGAGCGCGCACGTGCATCATGTGAAATGACCAATATAATGTATATTGCCTTAACTTTTCTATTTTTTGATAAAATGCTTTGAAACTCATAATTTAAAGATATATTAGTACTATAGACAAGATGACATGGTCAAAATAGCAAGATCTCACGCGCATGCACGTGCGCTTTGCTCTGATTGGCTGAAACTTAAGTCTCTATATCTTTCTTGTTTTTTGACGAAATCCTTTGAAACTTTGAACATAGCCATGCATGAGGATATCCTACAACATGGTATATAGATTTATCATGAAAACACGTGCCTGCAATCTGATTGGCTGAAACTTTAAATTGCTATAACTCCCTTGGTTTTCAACCAAACAGAATAAGATTTGGAACATAGATATATATAATCGACTTCTACAAGAAGGCATGGTCACCATGCACAGGCATACACGTGCGTGTACGTGCGCTGCAATCTGATTGGCTGAAACTTTAAACAGCCATAATTCCCATGGTTTTCAACCAAACAGGATGGGATTTGGAACATAGATATATATACTGGACTTCTACAAGAAGGTATGGTCACTATGCGCATGCATACATGTGCGTGTACATGCGCTGCAATCTGATTGGCTGAAACTTTAAACAGGTATAACGCCCTTGGTTTTCAACCAAACGGGGTGGGATTTAGAACATAGATAGATGTAATGGACTTCTACAAGAATGTATGGTCACCATGCTCATGTATGCACGTGCGTGCACGTGAAATGGGTAAAATCAAAAATACACTTGAATGACTGTTTTTTTTATATACTTTTGGATTATATTTAGCATATTAAAATATATAGATTGTGTAGACAATATGATATGGTCATTACGCACATGCATTCACATGCGCAAGTGTGCAATAATAAAATTTGAATGAACATGGTACACTTCTTGGTAAACGTTGTTAAAGTCTCAAATGCATAGAGTTTGTCTTATTTAATTACGCCTACAGGGAATATGATTATAAAAGGGAGTTGGGGAGCGTTTGGGGAACATCTGTAACGGTCCCCGTTACAATTAGCACTAGTTGTTTTCATTATACGTGAATGATTTTGAGAATGCAGTTTATCAAAGAAAATTGTCAATGCATAGATGTACAAGAAATTAGTTTGTTTCTTCTTATGTATGCAGATGGTATGGTGATTATGTCTGAAAACCCAGAGGGTTTACAACAAATGCTGAATTCATTATGTAATTATACTACTACAGTGTATGTGGTATCATAAAGTTAATATTCAAAAGACAAAAATAATTATTTTCAGAAATGGAGGTAAGATTAGAGAGAATGAGAAATGGACTTATGGTAAAGACATAGTTGATATTGTTGACGATTTTATTTCTCTTGGAATGCTATTTAATTACAACGGCAAATTTTTGAAAACTCAAAAACATGCCGCAGAGCAAGGTAAAAAAGCTTCATTTGCTATTTCTACTTCATTAAAAGCACATGCATTCAATATTGAAACAGTTATCTGTTTTTGATTCTTACGTAAGTAGTGTACTTTTATACGCAACAGAGGTATGGGGATGGCATAAAGCTACTGATATTGAAAAAATCCATCTTAACTACTGTAAAAGAGTCAGAAAACAGTCAATAATTTCGTATATTGCGAATTGGGAAGATATCCACTAGCACTAAAAATGAAATTAAAAATTTTTAAATACTGGCTCAAGTTAAGAGGGACTGATAATTGTATTCTTAGGGCCTGTTATGAAGATATGGTTTTACGTAACGATAATTGGATTATGTGCATTGGCGTCGGAAGCAAATTGAAAGTGGGGGGACTAAGTGTAAAAAAATTTTTTTGTACTCCAAAAAAACTGACAAGCAAAAAACAAAAGGGGGGGGGGGGAATGTCTATTTCCCAAAAAACGAAATCCTATTTCGTGGGGGTGGGGGTGGGGGGGGGGGGTGGGGGTTCGAACACCAGTACCAAAAATTTTCTTCCAAACACCAACATTTTCACCAATTTTAACCTATACTAAGACGTATCTGTGGAAAGTAGGGGGGCTAAACTTACGAAGATATGTTCAAAGTCTATACTAAGTATATATTTGGAAAAAAAGTGGGGGGGGGGGCTAAGCCAATGACCTACTTTTCATGCTAGTGGCCCCTGAGTTTTTCTCGGGAAATACCTCAATTTTTTAAACTATGAACAATTTTTTCTTCACACACAAAATATGACAAGCAACAAGACTCTTTGAATAATGAAATATTATAGCAATGGAACACCATTGCTTCATATAAAGAAATGATCAGAGTTTGGACCATAAATGTGATAATTATTACAGTCCGAATTTACTCTGTCATATTTATATTTTTCCCCATTTTTAATCGAACATTACAAAAATCTCACTGATAATAACACTAAATTATTTATAGCCTCAGACTACTTTTTTGCCCAAGTTCTCATGGTATTAATATTATATGGGGTCAATGATCAAATTATTGAGACATATTGTCTGGAATAGTTTTTGTATATATTTTTGAGTTTCTTTATTTCACAGCATTCAATTATTTGAAATAATTTATAAGCTTTAACACATATAATATTTGCAAAATGATGTTTAAGAATACATGTAACCTTTTCTTTGTGATTTATAATGCAAGAAATAAAAATTTTTGACAAAAATGAAAAATTGAAAATTTAGTTCGAATTTCCTCTGCATTACCATACTTTGACTTTGATCCTGTATATTTTCTTTAAATAATAAAATATTAAATTTTCAAATTGTTTTTGATTTAAAACTTCCTTATTTTATCCATTTAGAGCAATGGTTGATTTAACATATTATATATTATTAAATTTCCTTTCTATTTTCTGAAACCTGAGTAAACGTCATCCTTAAAGTTGTAAGTTTAATGAGTAGTCAAAATGTATTTTAGAGTTGTCTAATTTGGGAAAATTTTTATATAAAGCTACAGCTCTACGAAAGTCTAATTTGTAACTACTATTGATATTTATATCCTTTGTGTATTTTTGTACATAATATTTATTCTGTACTCTTTATCATGTTTGTATGCTGTATAAAATCTGATGAGCCTTTGGCTTAAAGAATAAAGAAAGAAAGAAAGAAAAAAACTATTGAAATAATTATTTCAATGGTGGTCGTATTTCAATAGTGGTTGCAACCTATGTGTGTTTTTGAAATGCACTCGCAACCACTATTGAAATAATTATTTCAAATAGTGGTCATTATTTCAGCAGTGGTTGCAACATAGGTGGTCACAATGGCATTATGAAACAAAGAAACTGTGAATCAGTGGTATAGGAGGAGTTGTGGATAATAGATAATAGAACGGAAAGATGGACGGACCGTCTCGATCACTATATACCTTCCTATTTTTAAGTGGGGTATTATTATTAAAAATACCTTCCTGGGTATACTGATGAAAATAAATCTACGAAATAAATTGCCGATTTCTGAAAAAAAATTGTGATATTTATTCTTAAGCTCCCTTTATAATTATGATCTGCACAAATTATTTCATTGTTCTTTTTTATATTGATCATTTAGTCAAGTAAGCAATGAAATTTTAACGGTTTGTCTATTTCAAACAGAAAAAGTACAGTTATGGCTAACCTGTTGACGGCGATATGTGTGGCTTTCTTGGGGTTTGTTGTGTATTCGTTATTCGATCACAGTAACCAACTGAAACGAAATACCGAGGAGATAAGTAGACTCCGCAAGGAAAACCATAATCTCCAAATACACGAATACATCCTGAACGATCTCAAGAGCCAGGTTCAGGGTTTGAGGGAGGAAAATGGACACTTTAGAAAAGAGATTGATCGTCTGAATCATCAACGAGAGCTAACGAAAGACCGGCTAGAAGCTCTGAAAGACGAAGTTAGGAAACGTGATGAGGCTTTGAAAGAATTCGACAAGGGTGTGAACATCATGCATGAGGAATTGAAGAATACTGTCAAGGAGTTGGATAAACTGGTAAATCACGTGACAAACATGGACAAAATGATGGAAAAGCTGGATCATAAATACGTCAGTGCCATGAACGAGCTAAACGACATAAAAGGAAGTAAGTGTTTTGTCAAATAAAGTCTAATCAAATAATGCAGGGAAAACAATCGACAACAGTACACGTTAGTAAGTATTGCTAATAATTTTCTGTTCAAGGGGTTATGAGAATATATTTTTGATAAGTTTTTCAAATCGTGGAGAAAAAAGGGGAAAGATATAGTTTATTAATTTAACTTACTTTTTAGCTCACCAGAGCCGAAGGCTCAAGTGAGCTTTTCTGATCACATTTTGTCCGGCGTCCGTCTGTCTGTCCGTCTGTCTGTAAACTTTTCACATTTTCGACTTCTTCTCAAGAACCGCTGTGCCAATTTCAACCAAACTAGCCACAAAGTACCCTTGGGTACAGGGGATTCAAGTTTGTTCAAATAAAGGGCCATGCCCTCATTCAAGGGGAGATAATTGGGAATTAATGAAAATTTGGTGGCATGTTTTAAAAATCTTTTTCTGAAGAACCACTGTGCCAGGAGAGATGAAACTTACGGGGAAACATCCTCAGGTAGTGTAGATTCAAGTTTGTTCAAATCATGACCCCTGGGGGTAGGGCGGGGCCAAAATGGCCGATCAAAGTTTTACATAGAAATATATAGGAACGTTCTTTAAAAATCTTATTCTCAAGAATGACAAAGCCACAATTATTGATCATATTTATTTGAAAGCGCGCATCCTCAGGTAGTGTAGAATCAAGTTTGTTCAAATCATGACCCCCGGGGGTAGGGCGGGGCCACAAAGGCCGACCAAATTTTTACATATAAATTTATAGGAAAATTCTTTAAAAATCTTCTTCTCAAGAATAACAAAGCCATTATTGATCATATTTATATGGAAGCATCCTCAGGTAGTGTAGATTCCAATTTTGTTCAAATCATGACCCCCGAGGGTAGGGCGGGGCCACAATGGCCGACCAAAGTTTTACATAGAAATATATAGGAAAATTCTTTAAAAATCTTCTTCTCAAGAATAACAAAGCCATAATTGATCATATTTATATGGAATCATCCTCAGGTAGTGTAGATTCAATTTTCTTCAAATCATGACCCCGGGGGTAGGGCGGGGCCAAAATGGCCGACCAAAGCTTTATATAGAAATATATACTAAGAAAATTCTTTAAAAATCTTCTTCTCAAGAATAACAAAGCCATTATTGATCATATTTATATGGAAGCATCCTCAGGTAGTGTAGATTCCAATTTTGTTCAAATCATGACCCCCGAGGGTAGTGCGGGGCCAAAAATGGCCGACCAAAGTTTTACATAGAAATATATAGGGAATTCTATAAAAATCTTCTTCTCAAGAATAGCCCAGTCATAATTGATCATATTTATATGGAAGCATCCTCAGGTAGTGTAGATTCAAGTTTGTTCAAATCATGAACCCCGGGGGTAGGGCGGGGCCACAAAGGCCGATCAAAGTTTTACGAAGAAATATATAGGAAAATTCTTTTAAAATCTTCTTCTAGAATAGCAAAGCTATGATATGTCATGGGAGTGATGGGACTACTTTTGGATTTACACTTTTCAATAATAAACCAATTCCACTTCTTCCTAGCCACACTGCTAAGGTGAGCGATGTGGCCTATGGGCCTCTTGTTAGCTGTTCTGAGCCAAAGGCTCAAAAAGCGAATGCTATGGCCATTTGTGTTGTTTGCGTAATGTTTTTGGAATATGGGCCATAACTCAAGAACTCCTTGGGCAATTATTGTCACAGGGTATCCTTGGCCCAAGGGCTACCATTTATACTAAAACTAGGGTTGGGACCCTTAAACAATACCTTTATTCATCATGAAAATAAAACAAAAAGTACTGCTTGCTAAAAAACATCTTCTCCAGAACCACCAGGCAGCTTTTCACCAAACTTAAATACAAGGATCAGGGTATGTGGTAGATTAAAATTTGCCCGGGGAATTACCCTGGGGCAAAGGGTGTGGTCTCAAGGTCACTTCAAAGTTGACCTAAATTTACATATATTAAAAGTTTATATTTTGCCTACTATAAAGACTAAGATCATTATATCTTGCAAGTTGATGCATCTAATTAGGACTTCACATCATGTCATTGTGTGACATAAGCGGTCCAACATCTCATTATTTGCAGTTTACGTTCATTTTCTTTGCAGAGGTTGCGCATATTGAAATGAAATTCGGTACTCAGATTATTCATAAGAATATCTTAGTCAAGTTCTGTTCTGGTTACGATCGAACATTTTGAACTGTTTTGTGTAGGAACAAATTTAAAAAGATTTAAAAATAACAGTTCTTTATAATTTAAATACAAACAAGAATATGACAGAATAATTTGATATATATTAATAATTATACTCCACGCAACAAGTTGTGTGAGGTATAGAGGTTTTGACCTGTCAGTCAGTCAGTCAGTCCGTCAGTCCTGTTTTTTTGTCAGCGCAACTCCCCATAAATCGCTGCACAGAATTTCATCAAACTTTGCAGATATTTAGGACACAATGTGTAGATGTGCATATTACCAGGAAATTCCAATTATTTTTCTGGGAATTTCGGCACTTTTCAACTTAACGTAGATTTTTGGCCATACCTTAATACAGCATTATTGTAAATAATAGCCTTTATGTAATCTATGATGTAATGTAGTTCAACTTTCATGTTTGTTTGAGTCTTATTGTGTTATTAGCTGTCTCCTTTAGAAAAAAGTTGTAATTAGCCAATCGTAACGCTTATTCAAATCACGTGACACAAGATAGCGTCTTTTCACTGATTTAGAAGTGCCAAGAAATTCACAAATTTGTTTTGAGAAATTTACGTCTTCAGGAGTGTTTTTATCGTTTTTACGAACTTATTGCATTGTTTTTACCAATCGGAAGACTAAAAAACAAGAATACATCAGTGAAAAGTAAGTGATTTGCGGATTTTTTGAGTGTTTTTGTCCCAGGGATAGACAGGCTCCGTCCAGCCAAACAGTGTTACGCAATGGCGGCCGAACCCGAAGTAAACATTCGAACTGTGTGCATCTTAGGACATTCTTATATCCGCCGTTTGAAAGAATTTATAAATGCAAGTGATCTTAGGACTAATTTAAATTTGGACATGGACTCCTTCAAAGTGGATTTCAGATCACGCGGTGGTTTAACATTCAAACGTCTAGCCCACTGTGCAGAATTTTTACGGTTTGACGCACCCCCGATATTTGTTTTATACAGATGGGCAGTAATGACTTGAGTCTAAACAATCCTCAAAAAGTGTGTACGGACTTAATTTCTTATGCACAATACTTGCACTGGTGTTGGAATAAAAACTGTAATTGTTGGACAGTTATTACGCCGTCAGCCATGGGCTTCTCGTGACAAGTTCAACGAGGATGTTGTAAAAGTTAACAATCTTTTGAAAGAGGAAACAGGGAAAGTAGATGGTGTGTATTTTTGGCCACACAGGGGATTTTGGGCGGACCTGTCCTACCTGGGACGTGATGGAGTTCATATTGAGGGTGACTCCAGGCATATGAAGAAATATATGCATAGTATTAGAATTGCAGTACTGCAACATTCAAGATGAGTATGTTACTATAAATTTGAAAAAAAAAAATGCAAGTAATGCTATGATTTAAAACATACTTTTCTTTGATAGAGTGTTATGTGAGAAATGAATTGATTCCACACAGACACACTCAGACTAGTGTGAATTTTCAAAAAAAATAAGTATATGTCAAACATATAGTTTAGTACATTCTCTTTTACAATAATGACAGGTTAGAGTCACTTGTATTGTAAAGCGCACATGAAATTTTGTGTTTTGTTTTTGTCATTTGGGTAAGTCACACGCTGAGTAGTGTGCCCCTATTTAGACACAGGCAGAGATATGTGCCCTGATTTAGACACACGCAGAGTAGTGTGCCCCGATTCAGTCACACGCAGAGTAGTGTGCCCCGATTCAGTCACACGCAGAGTAGTGTGCCCTTAATTACACACACAGAGTAGTGTGCTTCTTTTTACTTTAGTGACATGAAAGATGAAACACGCAGAGTAGTGTAATATTACATTGTCATAACAATTGGACATCATACAGAGTAATATGTCCTTACCTATACACATAATATTCAGTCGCACACAGAGAAGTGTGCCCTTATATAGTCATAATAGACAGACACACGCAGAGTAGTGTGCCTTTATAAGTTATATAGACACAAAAAGTTGTACACACGCAGAGTAGTGTGCCCTTAGAGACATGATATTCAAACACACGCAGAGTAGTGTGCCATTACTACTTTTGTAAAAATAGTTGGACACACAAAAACTTGTGTTCCTGAATCCTCGTATGCAATAAGAATGTAAGACAAACTACATGGACTATCATATGTCTTTTGATTCTGAAGTGTGAACAGTTTTAAATATTGTCAATTTAATATAAAGCAAATGTGCAAAATATGCTAATTGTCAGATGCTGAAGATTTTATTTGGTTAACATCAAATGTCTGTGAGATTTCACTGTTGAGTTGACCTAAAAACAAAATTTTACAATGCGTACAGTATTGTTTTCATATGGTAAGACAAAAGTTGCACGATGGCAAGTAAGATGGCACAAGGTATATATTATGATAAATAAATTACAAAACATAATTTTGAGACTACAATATGGAGTATGAAGGGGGACGGAGGGTGGGTAAATTTCTCAAAACAAATTTGTGAATTTCTTGGCACTTCTAAATCAGTGAAAAGACGCTATCTTGTGTCACGTGATTTGAATAAGCGTTACGATTGGCTAATTACAACTTTTTTCTAAAGGAGACAGCTAATAACACAATAAGACTCAAACAAACATGAAAGTTGAACTACATTACATCATAGATTACATAAAGGCTATTATTTACAATAATGCTGTATTATGTAACCCTAGTGATCTGGCTAGACTACCGCAAAAGTTGAAATATAACAAACAATGTATACTGAGTGAGAATTGTCATTTATTAAATGACAATAAGTATATAACACAGATAAAGTTAAGGGGAGATCACCGGGATATTTCCTGAGTACAAAGAACAATAAATTTGGCAACGGTATCTCCCCTGTTGCAAACAAACATTACTTTGGCAAAAATATTTTGACAAATAAAAAGTATATAAACCACAAAGTTGTCAAAACATAACGACCACTCTTGAAAAAATTATTTCAAAAGTGGTTAAGAGTGCATTTCAAGAAATAATTATTTCAATATGGTTAAGAGTGCATTTAAATAGCAAACATAGTATGCAACCACTATTGAAATAATTATTTCAATAGTGGTTAAGAGTGCATTTCAATAACAAACAGATTGCAACCACTATTGAAAAACGACCACTATTGAAATAATTATTTCAACAGTGGTCATTATTTCAATAGTGGTTGCAAACAGTGCATATTACCAGTAAATTGGGATTCTTTTTATTTTTCCCGGCAATTTCAGAACTTCGAGTTTTAGGAGAGCGTGGGGTATATGAGCTTGCTCATTTTTTCTTAAATATGATAATTTTGTATAGACAGTGATAGTTATCTCTCCTGTCTGAGGGTGAATTAAAGAATTTTCTTTTTATGCCCCATAAACGAAGTTTCCGGGATACACAGTTTTTGCCCTTTCCGTCCGTCTGTCTGGCTGCTTGTCTGCAAAAACTTTAACCTAGCCCATAATTTTTGAGTGGGTAGGGCGCTGGCTTTCATATTTCACGGGTATATTCCTTGTGACAAGACCTTTCTTTCTGTACCATCAAATTTGACCTCATAACGTTGACCTTGGTGTTTGACCTACTTTTACCAAAAATACCACACCTTTACTTTGACCATAATTTTTAAATGGTTGGTGCAAGGGCTTTTATACTTCTGATATATATTTTGTGTGACAAGAGCTTTCATAGCATTCCAACAACTTTGACCCTTTGACCTTCGTAGACCGACCTACTTTTTAAATAATATTGGCCATACCTTTATAACGGTTAAGGGCTCGAGAGTTCTTATGAGTAACCGTTGTGACCAGACCTTTTCTAGGATACCAACAACTTTGAACCTTTGACATTGACCTACATGTTGGACCTACTTTAAAAAATAAAAATAGCTTTGGTCATAACTTTTGAATGTTTAAAGCTAGGGCTTTCATACTTCAAATATGAAATCCTTGTGACAAGACATTTCTTCAGAAACCAACAACTTTGAACCTTTGACCTTCACCTTGAAGTTTGACCTACCTTAAAATACTTTAAACCTGGCTATAACTTTTGAACAGGTGGTGCTAAGGTTTTCATATTTCACAATTGTATTTCTTGTGTGAGAAACCTTACTTTGGGTACCACCATATTTGATCTGCGTTTGAGAAAGTTTAATATTCGCTACGTTGCCATACGGGTGCATCAGTGTTTCACAAACACATCTTGTTTTCCAACAGAGTTGAACCAGGACAGAAACCATTACCACAAACATGAACACGAGTATTCTAGCGGCGGAACCATTCTCGGCGCCATTCGTTACACCATCAACGTCATCGCTAACAAACTACTTGGTTTTGCCCTTGGAGGAATCTCATCAGTACTTTTACTGAATTGAAACTTATTTGAATTCCATATATCAAGTTCTAATTACTTTTTTCTATTTCTTTATATATTGTATATTTATAATTTTTAATTCATAATGTGTGCCACATTTAAAATACAGATGTTTTCATATCATTTGTACTGTATGTAAAGTAAAGATCTGTCTGTTTGTCTTTCAACCTGTCGGTCGATCATCGATCGATTGAGAAGACCTGTGCTTATTAATAAATTATCTAAAAGTATGTGCTGTGATTGTTATCCGCCATCCCTCTTCCGGAACCAGTTATGGTAGCCAAGTGACAGGACATCTGCTTCATGACAAGTAGAACACAGTTGGTGTGACCGGTAGGCAGGGGATGCTCTCTCCTTCATGGTACCTGATCCCACCTTTGATGTTGTAGAAGTCAGTGTTTGCTCCCGACTTTTATTGTTTAATGGATTTTTGAGGTTGCTGTTGCATGGTTTTCTCCATACATTTCATGTAGCCCATCTCCAGTTCCCTCTTCACATTTTACGATATACATACGTAAAGAAAGAAACCTGACTATTTAATATCCTGAAAAATAAATCACCTGAAGGGGAAAACTCTGTTTTTTGCAAACTGAAAATAAACAAGCTTTCTGAAAGTATTGCATAAGCATACATGTCAGCTACTGGGATCCCCTTCTCTCTTTATGATGTCATTTTTATCAAAACAACTCATAGCATTTTTATTTAAAATAATCAAACGGTCGATGCTTTGTCACTTTCTGAGAATAATCTGTGTTTCGGGTTAAGCCTTCTAAACACTTCGAATTATGTAATTATGCATGCATTACAAAATAGTCAAAACTGACAAATTCTGTCCATTCGTTTAAATTGTCTTGATTGTTCCGTGAAGGTTAAAGTTTAAAACTTTATCAAAATTAATCAAATATCTTAACATATGATGTGAACATATCAAGAGAAGATGGCATTTTAAGCAAATTAATTATTTTTGAAAAACTAAGTGCTGAGAAGACAAATTTTATCAGCAATTTTTTAAAAAGATTAGGTAAAGTGGTTTATATTCCTAGTAAGTTTGTTGCGTATCTACATATGAATATGGTTAACATAGATAGTGACTGTTCCTTCTATCTCTGAAAAGTCAAGGGTCTTTTGGTCTTTGGAACATTTAAAACCGAGGTCTGGTGTGACGGTAAGCATAAGGACGATAAAAATCCCTCACTGCCCAATGACTCTGGGTGGCGAGCATATTAAATTAAAACCCTTTATTGATCAGTATATGATGACGTTTCTATATGAGTAAAAAGTTCGACGTTTCTATAAGCTTAAGAGTTAAAAATTCTCAAACTGGACGTAAAATCAAACATACAGTCAATCAAACAAACTCCTTCCAGAAATCGTAGATCATACTTTAACCCACATGCACATGTGAAATCCTGAGTATAGTAACAGTACTTGAGTACAACAAAGTAGTAGATAGTACACGTAGATGTCATGGCGTCGACAGGTTAAGACGTCCAACCCCACCCCCTTTTGATCAATATATAAGATCATAGGTATAAATTGAGTGACAGTCATCTTCAGATACATCCTAATTTTAGCAATAAAGTTTACAGAATGTACAAATGAGAAAATGAAATTGTTATAATATAATCTTTTTTTTAAAAATCAATATCTCCATTAGTTTAAAATATTTAATGAATATGTATTGCCTCACACCCTATCCCCAGCCAAAAAAAATAACTATTAATTTAAAAAGTATCAATGTACAGTTTGAAATTGATATTTTTTCATACAACAATTTTCAATTCATGCTTCTTAATATGATCCAACGTTTTTAGTAGCCTTAGAAAGGGTCTTGTGAGAAGTTGACATTTGATGACTATAAAGAAAAAAAAATACACTTAGTTTGTGAAAATAACAATTAAACGAAATAGATTTTTAACCTAACATATATTTATTTGGTTGGTCAAATTTTCAATTAGAAAATGCACAGCTGATATTTCTATTCATTTTTTTTTCTTTTTTACTGAATAATATATTCGAGATTTTATAATTTGAAACAAAATAATAGGATTAACTATAATCTGCATCATTTTGTGGGTTCGAAGATATTTCTCTGACCATCTTCAAGTACTTTACTTCTAATTTATTAACCTAAGGATAGAACTAACTTGTGTAAGCTGAACATAATGAATTTGACTTTCTGTGAACTTAGCTGTATTACATAATAACGTCATTTTACCTTCTCAGAACACAGAGTTCAAGCAATCCTTGTATAACTAAAATCGTGATTTCAATTAAAGTCTCGGTTTATAAAGCAGAAAATGCGAATCGCATTTTAAATATAAGCATTTAACTCCAAAGCCCTTGTGATTTTTAAAGTAAATGTAAAAGCTGAACAACTTCTTATATACTCTTTTACATGTTTTAAAAAAATCTGTGTTGCGTCTTTTTAAAGTGTATCCATGATTCACTCTTACCCGGAACCCAAATTGTATTATTCGATGCGTACTTTTTGAAAAAAGTTCTCAAATGAACATTATATCGTGGCGTTTCAACGCCTCGTTCAAAACAAGTGAAAACTAATGCAACCGTTCTCTTTCTAATTGAATAATAGGTTGTTTGTTTCTTTCTTCAAGGAAGTCGCAGATGTCAAACCCCAGTGACGTTCAAGTTTTGTAACATTAGCCCATATTGCCAATTATGTGGATACATGATCCGCAATGTATGCAGTTCAATGACAAAGATTTTGTAAAGAAGTTCACGACCCCCTTAAATTCAAAATATGAGTAAAATTTGAATGATCATGCTGGGATTTTTTTTTCTCTAACCGTGCAGTAAATTGTTTTATAATAAGTCACTGGGCGTAAACACACCAATATAAAAATCGAAAGAATTTTTATAAAGTTCTTATTCACGACTTAACGTGTATCTCACAAATAGATTTTAAGGTATTCAACATATACCGCAGGGACTTTGAACAATTTGAATTGTGTTAAACTAGTTAAAAATACAGTGCTAGATAACGATAAAAATGGTCTAAACTAAATACACTAATAAGCTGATAACTGTGCACTTGAAAAGTTTGTGAAGAATTATCTGCCCTTGACGAAAAGCAGAAAATTTTAATTTTATTTTATATCTTAATCAAAAGAGAGTTTATGCATATTTTCACCAATCATGTTTTGTAGGAGGTTTATTATACAATGAACCTGCAATATCGTGCAATGACACAGGAAAATAACATTTTAAAATAAAAAAAAAAAAGACTTTCAAAAACGATGTACAGTTCATATATTAACAAAATTTTAAAAATGTTTTGTGAGAGGTTTATTATACAATGAACCTGCAATATCGTGCAATGAAACAGGAAAATATTATTTTAAAACAAAAAGATTCGTAGTTCAAACAAAATTATGAGAAAGTGTTACTAAAAATTTGGGACATTTACCTCACTTATACTTGTTTTTGAAAAATGAGAGTGCGAGACAACAATGTGCAACTGTATGTTTTATTACTTGTGAAAGAGCGTAAAAAGATAATAATTATGACGTCGGCGATATTATGAGCAAATGCACATTCTCAGTAGAAATATTAATAACCATTTGATATTTATTAAGCAAGTTATTTTTACATTATCGAAGGAAAGCAAGTAAATTGTGATCATAGTGTTCAGTAAATTTCACTTTAATGACAGGCCAAAGCAGTGTATTTATTCATATGTATATTTTACCAATGGCATGTAGAGTTTTTGAAGGCTTTCTTGCAAAAAAATAGCGTAGAGTAAAATTATAATACGTAATATAGCTTATAATTAGTGTTTTCTAACTACGAAACATAAAATGGTCCGATAAACAGGTCTCTAGTAAAATATCCAACAGTAAATAATAAAATTGTTGAATTTTAAGGGTGGATATGAGCTATGTGGGTGATTTCCCCCACAGTATGAAAGTACAGTTCATGGACAAAGTATTTATTGATATAACACGATTACCTTATAAAATTACAACCAAAATCATGGGAAAAACTTGTAAATCTAGATTTGAAATTTTTGTTAGTTTGAAATTTGTATAACCTTTTTTAGAAACAAAACACCTTTCACTCACTTCGTGACTGAAATAAAATATTCTTTACTTTTAACTAAATACGCACGCAAAAAATAATCTCTAACATTCCTTGACTGACCGTAATTGCGTGCGACATTTTCACAAAGAAAGGTTTCAGAAGAAAGGGGTTTGATATTGGGTATCAAACGTGGGTAGATGGTAGATAAAAGCGACCGCATGACGGGGTCCCTGCATTCCTCGCTGGGACTATAATGGGGCGGTATCTGCGTCTGATCCTCTGTATTGCCGGACTTTGGTCAGTGAGGGAGACTGAGGCCCATGGCCGGCTCTGGAAACCCTGCGCCAGACAGACTCTGTTCAGGCTGTATGGAACAGCGAGATTTAAAGCAAATTATGATGACGTGAGCCTGTTTTGTGGAGGAACGCAGGTAAGGTGTAGGACAGGGATCCTATTAGTTTGAGGGATGTAGCAAAAAATTACTAAAAGTTTAGCTGTCGTAGCAAAGATGGGACTCGCTGAATATTATCATTATTATCTTTTTTTAAAAAAAAGTTATACCCGTAACATCGTCGCAAACCACGGCCAAAATAAAGATCCTCTCCCATCCTGGAGAGAGCTCTATGCGGCCTCCGGACCATGGTTTGAAACGATGTACCCGTAATCGATTGAGAAAAATCATTGTTTAATATCAAAAAGTATGAATGATTAAAATTTGAATGTCCTTTGAATACATAGGATTCAATTCCGGAAATGAATAATGCCTCGGAAAAAAAATTAATGAGACAAACATGTCTTATCCAAATTTAAATTTGCACGTGTATATCACAAGCTCTTCAAATTTTCTCAGAAGTACATGTATAAGAGTAAATTTAGTATTTTTTTAATATTGCTTTTTAAGATGGCAGAATTTTATCATATTCTAAGAGTTTTGATCAGAATGTGTTTACTTTGACAATTAGCTTTTACAATCAGTTTTGTTGAAACACTAGGATGTATGTGATAAATTTGTCTAATTAAGTCTTTCTGTACATATATTTAGAGACAATGGTCGGTTAACGGTGGAAAATGTGGGATTTGTGGTGACGCTTATGATCTACCCCAATCCAGCAAACGCTATGAGGTGGGCGGGACTAACACTTACGCTACAGGGTTCATAGCGGAAACCTACCACCAAGGTCAACAGGTGGACGTGTTGGTGGAACTGACAGCAGCACATCTCGGAAAGTTCTTTTTCAGGATTTGTAAACAAACTAACGAGAATGTTGAGGTGACCCAAGATTGCTTAGACAGAACGCAGTTAAAGGTACATGTAACGTCGCCGTAGCGTTCAAAGAGCGATAACTCTTTATTTTCAATCCTCTGAATGAATTACGCAAAGTACGTTTAAAAGTTTATTTACACTATTTACACATCATAATAAAATCACAATAACATCCAATAATCACACACATATAATCCCAGTATTAAAACAATAATATAATCCAATGTTCACATAAGTACAGATTCAGCGCAAGTGAGCAAGTCCAAGTCTGAGAACATCCCCCCTATATATATCTTTAGGCCATTGCTCGCGAGGAGCAATGCGTTTTTGGTCATTACATAATTGTCGAGGAGCAATGGTACGTAAACAAAGAATACAGGTATCTATAATTATATACTAACGGAATCAAATATAAACAAACAAAATGAAATAATTAAAGACCGTTACAACTTCCCCCCACTTAAGTTTTTGACTCCGTTCAAAAGAAATGACTATTTACAACAAAGAAAATGTACAGAATCTACAATCTACATAGTTAAACAAGATAATAAACACAAAAATAATCATGAAAAAATAATAACAATGACACAATGAAACATAGCGAAAACAAAACATTTCTCCTGTCTTGAAATAATATAAACATGACAAGTTATATATTTAGATTAAATATTTTCACAATTATTTACAAATATATGTAAGACTCCAAAGTCCGATGGTGACGCCAAAGTCCGATGGTCTCGCCAAACCCCGATGGTCTGCGCCAAACCCCGATGGCTCGCTGTCTTTACGGACGCCAAAGTCCGATGGTCACGCCAAAGTCCGATGGCTCGTTTCCTATGAGACGCGCGACGCTAAAGTGCGATGGTCTGACACGCCAAAGTCCGATGGTGCGGAGGAACAATCAACGTTTATGACGTCACGACGTTGTCCTGCATTCAAAATCCATTGATTCAGTATTCGTCTCACATACATTTTTACTGATATTGCTTATTGTTTTCGCCTACCACAGCTATTAGGGCTACTCCTTGTAGTTTTTTTCGATTGATAAGCGTTAGTTCTTGAACATCAGTGTGTTTCACCCAGAGATTTTATGGTTAGTCCTCGCACACTATTGGACTGATTTGGGTTAGTCCTGCACCCATCCAAGATATCTAGCTTATAGTTTTAACACATTTTTCGACTGATAAGTGTTAGTCTCGCACTTATATCTAAAAGATTAGGGTTAATCTTTGCATTTAATATTTATTTGTATTTTATTTTAAACAAATCGGGCTTGGCATGGCGCAGTATCGCATTTTTGCTCAGCAGTACTATGACGTCATAAACGTTAATTGTTTTCCGCACCATCGGACTTTGGCGTGTCAAACCAACGGGGTTTGGCGCAGACCATCGGACTTTGGCGTGACCATCGGACTTTGGAGTCCCATCGCACTTTGGAGTCCTACATATATATACAACCAAATCACAAATTTCCCTTTACAAGTTTCACATGTACATGTGGATCAGTGAAATGTTTGGGGACCTCACTTAAAATGTCTGAAGCTACTGATTCAAAGTCAATGTCTTCGGGGTTCACGTCTTCAGAATACACAATCTGCGAGTCGCGTGTAATTTCCTCAGTCCCGCAAGGGTCCCGTCTGACGGTCCGGTTCATTACGAGGCAGATTGTAGTCTTCGTCACAGCGCGATTGTTGTTATCGTCTGTTTCGGTCATTACGGAATCGTTATCAAGGTCGGAATCAGTGTCATTACACACAATCACTTGACGAGTATCCATGTTATCGTTCCCGTCCTCCGAGATAACGATCCTCTCGTCACTAATAGAGTCACTTTCTCCGAGTAATCCATCGATAAAATCGAAGTCCATCGAGTTTACTGAGATTTCCTCTAAATCGTCATTTTCGATTAACTGATTCACGGGTTCACTCAGGCCCTCCTCATCACTGGAAATGTCCTCGTAAAGGTGGCTAAGCACGTAGACTGGCTTCTGGGTTTCCTCATATCGCTCTCGTTCCACTTTTCTTCTTTTCTGGTCCATGTCTTTCTCGATATCGGAAGATTTATGCACTGTTGATAAATGTCTTTTTAAGTTGAATTTCCTAAGAAATAGTCTCTGACAAAACGAACACTTGAATGGTTCTACATGGTGTTGATGCTGTTCTCTCTGGTGTTGATTCAAATTACTTCGAGTACTAAAACAATGTCCACAAATCTCACAAATCATCTGGTCAGTTACTGTCTCTGAAACGAACTGGCCTTTTTATAACCCGTCCATGTCGGGTAGTCCTCGTTCTGGCTTCTGATTGGTTGTCGGCGAGTGATTGATCATTTTGGTTAAGACCATGGCGCGTGTCTGCCGGCAACTTCAAACGTCTCCCTCTCGCTGTCGCGCGTCGCTCGGGTACACGGGCGTTGACTGTCTGGTCACTTGTATATTCCCTCGGGGTTATGGCAGAATGTTTATTCCCTCGGTACGGTTTTAAGTTGTCTGTATGGACAATTACGGGTTTTGAAGTTTTTGAATGTCGGATTTGGTACAGCACATCACTTAATCGTTTCACCACATACCAAGGACCAGTCCAATTGCGTGCCAATTTTGATTTTGTTCCCTTTATTATTTGTCGTTGATTTCTTCTTACTAGATCTCCAATATCGTAGTTTTCCTCTCGCACTTTCCGATCATAGTTACGTTTTTGACGACACACGTCTTTTCCTGTCACATCTCTCACAATGTCGTATAATTCACAAAGGGAATTTTCCAGGGTACGCACATATTCTGAAGGTGTAAAAACACGGTCTTCTTCACAATTAACATTTTCTGTCACTAATTCAACAGGTAATCTCATTTCTTCTCCAAACACCATTCTGTACGGCGTAATCCCGGTCGTATCATGTACTGTGCTGTTATATGCGAATACAACTCCGTCTAAGAATTTATCCCAGTCATTTTGATGTACAGAAATATACTTCGATAGCACATCTTTCACAGTTCTGTTTAAACGTTCAATCATCCCATCTGATTGGGGATGATTAGCGGTAGTGCGCGTTTTGTTTATCTGCAACATTTTACACAGTTCCTGGAATAACTGGCTTTCAAACTGTAGACCTTGGTCCGAATGTAATTCCTGGGGACAACCATATCTTTTGATCCAGCCACGGAATATGATATTTGCTACTGTCTCAGCCTCAATATCACGAAGAGGGAATATTTCCGTAAATTTAGTGAAATAGTCCGCAATCACTAGAATATACACAAATCCGTTGTTTGTTTTCGGGAACGGGCCAGCTATATCCACCGCTATTCGCTCGAATTTCACTCCACTTAGATAGGTTTTCATGTATGCGCGTTTCTTGTTACTTGGATGATTTCGCTCCTCACAGATATCACATGAAGTCACATAATCATGTACACTTTTCCTGAGATGAGGCCAATAGTACTGGCTTTTGTTTATCTTGTCCAGTGTTCTTCTGACGCCCATGTGTCCTGCTGTTTCTGAATCATGGAAATTCCACATAACATTGTCCCTTAGAATTTTAGGCACACAAATCCGGAATCGCTCACAATCACTGTCAATCCATCGAATACACAATACACCTTGTTTCACAGAAAGTAATTCCCAACGAGCATATAGAAACTTACTTTCAAATCCTAATGGGGAAATCGAACTAATCGATGGCTTCTCAAATTCGGAATTTTCTTTCCATTTCAGAAATCTACACATATCCTTATCGGTCAACTGTGCCTCCCTAATATTTTCCAAAGTTAATAAATCCTCTGGCTGTTTCTTTTGTCTTGCTCGTGATGGTCGGTTAGCTAGTACATAAACACTACTACAATTCACAGGTAGTACTTCGTCGTCGTCGTCGTCAAATAATCCAATAAGTGAATACACATTATTGCTCACATTTACGGGTACAGTTCTTAGTTGTTCTACGTGGTTATATATTGGTCCTGAATATTCCTCTGTAACATCTAGTTTACATTGTTTGCACGTAACTCCCTGTACATTAATTCTGCTCAGGCTATCGGCATTTCCGTGTCGCTTTCCTGATCGGTGCTGTATCTTAAACGTAAATGCAGCTAACTGCTGTAACCATCTCGCGATCTGTCCATCCGGGTCTTTAAATTTGTGTAGCCACACTAAAGATCCATGATCTGTCCTTAACGTGAATTCACGACCAAGTAAATATTGTTTGAAATGTTTTACGAAAAACACAAGTGCTAACATTTCCTTGCGGGTTACACAGTAATTCCTTTCTGCTGTTGACAATGTTCGGCTACCATAAGCAATCACTTTTTCATTTCCATCCTGAATTTGAGATAGTACGGCTCCTATGGCATCGCTACTAGCGTCCGTATCCAGAATAAATGTTCCTCCATTGACGTCTGGATAGCTAAGAATAGGCGAACTCACAAGCTTACTTTTTAACAAACAGAAAGCTTCATCACATTCTTCAGTCCACGACCACATCTTATTTTTGCTGGTAAGTTCATGTAGGCATCTCGCAATTTTTGAAAAGTCCTTAATAAATCGTCGATAGTAAGACACAAGGCCTAGGAAACTTCTGAGTTCACTGACATTTGTTGGCGTTTTCCAGTTCTTAACTGTATTAGTTTTACTGGGATCCGTTTTCACTCCGTTTTCTGAAATAACATGGCCTAAGAATGTCACTTCTCTTCTAAAGAATTTGCATTTCTTTGCCTTCAATTTCAAATTAGCTGAATTCAAGCGATCAAACACCGAATTAAGATTTCTCAGGTGCTCATCGAATGTACGACTATATACGATGATATCGTCCAGGTAAAGAACGGTAATATGCCATTGTAATCCACTAAGTGCTTGCTCAATGACTCTCTGAAAAGTGGCGGGGGCATTACACAAACCGAAAGGCATGACGTTGTATTGGTATAATCCGCCTCGAGGTGTTCCAAAAGCAGTTTTCTCCTTATCACACTCGCGCATTGGAATCTGATGATAGGCCATATTTAAGTCTAATGATGTAAACCATTTCGATCCAGATAAAGCGTCTAAATCGTCAGCAATTCTGGGGATCGGATATGCGTCCTTAATTGTCTGGGCATTTAATCTTCGATAGTCAACACAAAGTCTCCAAGTTTTATCCTTCTTCTGAACTAAAACTAAAGGTGACGACCATGGACTTGTTGATTTCTCTATTAACCCTTGATTCCTTAACTTTTCAATTTCCGCATCTAAAATGTCTCTTTTAAATATGGGAACTCTCCTCACTGGTTCTTTAAATGGGGTCTCGTCACTCAAATCAATGCGATGTTCACCTAAATTCGCACGCTGTGCAGGCAGACTGGGGTCAGCAAATGCGCCTTGCTGATTTAATAAAAATGTCTTGAATTCACTTGCTTGTTCCGGGGACAGGTTTTCGCATCCTTCGCGAAACATATTACACAAAAACTCGGGAAGTTCAGCTGATCCATTTCCCACTGTTACATTACACACCTCCACATCTTTGCTTTTTAAGGAGTCCAACACATCCTTAACTGGTGTTAATAATGCAATCTCTGTGTTCTTCTTAACACAAACTTCGCTGTCGCCTGGGTTAATCACACGCGCATAAATAACTCCATCTTCGGAATTCACTAACACATGCGCAATTGCGAGTCCATGCGTGTGGACAAACAATTTAAGAGGCACTAATATCCCTTCTTTGGATTTTGTACCGGAAATCACTCTTGATTTCATCACGGCTTCATACTTCGGGGGAATCACTTCATCCTCCATTGAAACCACCAGGCAGCCTTGATTTTCATCACTTCTGTGCGCACAATTTATCATCATATGATTATCTCGATAGTCCCACTGACACTCAAACTTGGTCATAAAGTCCTGTCCAAGCAAGTTACTTTTGACTCCTCCCACAATATACACTTATTGGCCCCATAGTTAACAACATATTTGCAGTTCCAATAATTTTAAGAGTAGTTCCATCAGCTGTCTCAAACTTTTTCCCGTGCACGCTCTAGTACAGGTCTCTCTTGAGGAAGTATACTGTAGTACATGTCCTCTGTAATGAAAGTATTAATCGCACCTGTGTCGATTTTCCACTCTAATGGCGTACCTTGCACTAACCCTTTTACAATCATCCCGGGTTTGCCCTCAACAATGACACTAGGCATTGCCGCCCCTGAGTTGAAATCTATGTGCGCTTCATCTAATTTATTTTTCGTCTTAGAAAAATCAATGTGATGTTTCACATCTACTGTACTAGGCCTCTCTTGTGCTCCCTTGACCGACGCATGGCCTACTGCCTCGGTCGGTTCCGGTTTAACTGCTGATTGACATTTTGCTGGTTCTCACGAGTTCCGGTCCAGTCACTCTGTTTGGAGCTATTGTCACGGTCTCCCTTTGGGCAATCTCGTATTAAATGCTGCGTGGAGTTGCATTTGAAACATTTCTTGATACCCTTGTTCAAATTAGCTGTTGATTTATCTTCCCATTTTCGCTTGTCTCCCTGAGCATTTCTAACATCATAAACTTGGGGTGGATATGTCTTTCGGTTTAACTTCCTGTTTTCTGTACAACGAATACACTCTTCCTGCATTGCTGCTCTGACTGCCTCGGCAATAGTTTTAGATCGGGTTCGTTTAACAGCAAGTCTAAAATCATCATTTCCACTGCAGTTGTCCAAAAATGTTTTCACGGAACTTTCCGATACATATTCCCTATTGTTAGGATAAGCTCTCCTATACAAGTCCTCAATGGCTTGTCCGAAATCTCGGAATGTTTCGTTGTCCCTTTCCGCCTTAATTTCGCCTCTGTGATATAACTGTCTTTCAATGCCGTGTGACCAAATCGTTGATTTAAAGCATTTTTCAGGGAATTGTAATCTTGTAAAACAGTCTCCGGAAGTCCATATGCATACGCTTCAGCTTGGTCTCTGAGCGTAGTTAATAGAATTCGTCTTGTACGTTGTTCTGTCCATTGGTTAAGATTTGCGACATTCTCAAAATATCGTATAAATTCGCTCCAGATTGCAGTTCCGTCTCCTTTAAAGGTGCGTTTAAGGGGTATGCTGACAAGAGAATTTCCAGCTGGCATTCCTGGCGATAAATAAGTTGAATCTACCGGTGAAGGTGAGTGGGGACGGGTTCGTCGTCTTGTTGTGCTCGCCACAGGGGCCCTAGGTTGTTCAACGGCATCCTGAACTCTATTAGAGCAAAATTTCCAAATCACACTCAGCAATATAACACATGTCAGTGTTATCACAACAAGGAATTGAAATTCACGGGTGAATTGTATTTCTAGATGTGTCGGGAGCAAATGGTAAAATCCAGCAATCACTGATGCACAAAACACTACTAACAAAATCCAAAATGTTACAAATCCTTTCCATCCCCAATTATTATCAATTTCATGAACACTTAATTCTGTTTCGGGCCGTACCGGCGTTATCACATTCAAATCGACCTCCGGGGTGTCTGGTAAATCTGTATTTTCAAAGTCCGGTAATAAATTCCGGCGCACCGAGGGGGTTCTGGGCACCCTAGGTGTCTCGGGGGTTCTCACAGTATCCATTCCTATTTCCTGTCTTCCTGAATGATTCCAGAATAAAGTAATCACAATCACAATATGGGTCACAAACACAAAATAAATAAATAAATCCAGCTTGGAAAAAGTTAATCCATGGCGTAAACGATTTAATAATTCACGGACTGCTCCTGAAATGCTCTTATCCTACATCCTCAAAACGGACACTTGTAGAAATAGATTTTCCTACTGTTTTTACGAATCCAGTGACGATTGTCATCTTTGGTAAACATTACAAAGCAATTCGGACACTAACGTCTATGCGTCCAGAAAGTAAAAATCGTCCATCCTCCGTAATCGAATACGTATTCACAAACTGCGGCATTTTTCACTCGAATAATCCATGTACACGGAAAATGAATAATCCAAATATCACAAGAAAACACATTTAAATCACTAATGACGTTGAATAAAATCCACACAGAATAAAATCCATCGAATATATAATATCCACATGAATTAATTAAATCCAACCGGAATAGTTAAATCCCACTGAAATTGTTAAATCCCACCGCTGCCACCAGCTGTAACGTCGCCGTAGCGTTCAAAGAGCGATAACTCTTTATTTTCAATCCTCTGAATGAATTACGCAAAGTACGTTTAAAAGTTTATTTACACTATTTACACATCATAATAAAATCACAATAACATCCAATAATCACACACATATAATCCCAGTATTAAAACAATAATATAATCCAATGTTCACATAAGTACAGATTCAGCGCAAGTGAGCAAGTCCAAGTCTGAGAACATCCCCCCTATATATATCTTTAGGCCATTGCTCGCGAGGAGCAATGCGTTTTTGGTCATTACATAATTGTTGACCATTGCTCGCGAGGAGCAATGGTACGTAAACAAAGAATACAGGTATCTATAATTATATACTAACGGAATCAAATATAAACAAACAAAATGAAATAATTAAAGACCGTTACATACATATATCTCATATATGAAAAATAAGATAGAAGTGATCGATCAAAAATATCTACAATTAAGACATATTGTTTGGCTATTATTATTGTTATATTATATATAATTTGAACTATTTAGAGATTATTTTGTATCTTACTTTTATAAGGTAGAACAGAATGGTGTATACAACGATTATTTTGACGTAAAAGCCAGTGGTATGAGAACAAACATTTCTATGACGGTGCAGCTTCCGGGGGATTTGACATGTGAACACTGTGTTTTCCAGTGGTGGTATAAAACAGGTAAATATAAGTTTCAGACATCTATGTAAAGTCAAGTAATTTTAAATATATAAAAAAAAACTTTGAAAGTGGTTGAAGTTAGAACTGTTATTGTTCTTATATACACATTTGAGGAAATAAGTTCTCAAGATACACATAGATCTTCACTTTCAAATAGTAATTGTATTATCCTTTTGTAATCTTTACTTCTCTTTATGATATTCCATCTTATCAGGTAATAGCTGGGGAACACATCCTAGTGGTGAGAGCTGTCTAGGTTGTGGACAACAAGAAACATTCGTGAACTGCGCTGACGTTAAAATCTTACCAAATGATGGAACTCAAACGCAAGCCCCGACTGAACGACCAATCACAGACCGTCCCTCTACAGCGCAGCCAATCACAAATCGTCCCGTTACAGACCAACCAATCACGAACCGCCCCACTACTATAAATCCCTGGTTTACAACTCGAACCCCCACCACACAACGCCCTACAACTCGACCTCCCACCAATCCCGGCGGCTTTGCCTATTCCTGTCCTAACGGAGAAACTCGGACTTGTCGCGCTTCCGGTATCTTTAGTGGAAATAGAGGATATGACGTTTGGTGTGCCCAGCATTGCGGAATGAACTCGGCAAACTGCCAGCCATTGTACTGCAGCTGTACCTGTAAATCTCGGTGCGCTCTCAAGTCAACATTCCAGAGTTACTCTTACTGGCTTGGAGCAGACTTCTGTGATAGAGCCTCTTCTCATCACAAAGGCATCTTTTGCGATTGTATTTAGGTTTTTGTCAATCTCGATTTTTTAAAGATCAACCTTACTCATGAATATCGCCTTTTTAAAGGAGAAAGTGATTCGTGTGTACAATGTACTTAAATGAATCACTATTGACACAAAATCTCTTTGTACATTCATATTTATTTAAATAGGTCTATATTGTACATGTATTGATTAATGAAACTATTTTACAAAGCTAAATAAAATACATTTAAAATCTTTGATCCGCGTGTCTGTGTCGTGGAGTGCGTTTTACGAGTTTTCTCCCTTCGCATGCTTTTTTCTAACTTACCGTCATTAATATCTAAATTGTAAACCTTTTTTTTTATTTTTTGCATAATACAATATCACTAGGAGTAGGAGGAAAAGATCTAATATAAGCTATTATTTCTAATATTAAAAAACTGATTCAGAAACCGTTTTCTTATGATGTAATTATATATTTTGTTTTTGCCGTATGTATATATTATATTTGCTTGTTACACTTATCGAGGATTGGTTTTCCCCAATAAAGAACAAGATATTCTGGATCTGGTTTTTTAAAATTTCTATGACCTTGACCTAATTTTTCTTAAATTAATGTAAATGTTTTGCTCAGTTTTAAATAAACCATTCAATATATTTTTGTGAAGCTTTAAATGCTGATACGTCTTAGTGAGCGCTATTAACCTGCATGAAAATTTCTTGACCTTGAACTTTCCTGTGACATTGACCCCACTTTTTATCAAATTTGCATTCTCCTTCGTTGTCAAGAAACAAAATATATTTCACTGAGCTTATGCCTTTTTTTTCAAAATTTGATGGCTATTTATCATAAATATACAATTTTAACGAGGCCTGATCTAGTTGAAAATTACGAAAACGGAATGATAAAAATTTTTAATTCTTGGAAATATACTTGTATGTTTTATGCTTAGAAAAATTAGGATGAAATTTTGTTACCTTGCCTTTATTGTAGTGAAATGGGGGCACTGTCAAGATATGGACCATTTTTCGTGTTTTTATACACAATTACATACTAAAACTCTTCAAAAAACAAAGAAATTTACAAATTAAAAAAATACATGATGAAATTCTTTGTTTTTCACATATATCATACAATTTTCATTCCTCTTATAAAAAATGAAAAGAAAATTGGCGGTAGCCTTTATTGCAATGAAAAGGGGGCATGTCAAAACACAAAATTTAGATTTATTCTATCCAACTACGTATTTTATAGGTCGCAATGGGTTTACATAACACCAACAAACGATTGCAATACTGTATTAGTTTCTAAAAAATGAATAATTCTTACATTATGAAATTATTTTCTCGCCATGCTTTATTTTTCTAACATGCGACGTTGTTTTACGTGGAAAATACGGGTAGAAGGGTGTGTGTGTGTGGGGTGGGGGGGGGGGGGGTAAAGGCGACAAAATTGCGATTTTTACTAATATTATGTAATATATAGAAAAATTAAATATTTCGGGGGTTCAATTTAAATGATTTATAGATTTTTTTTTTTAACTGAAGATAATCTATGCATATTTAAGTCTGCAATAAAAAGAGTGTGTATAAACACTTCAACATGTTCAAAGAGAAAGACTAAAATCGTTTACTTTTAGTTGCAGCGTTTGTTTTTTTTAAACTCACAAATTGAAATAAAACAGGATAAAATTAATAAATCTGTACCAAAAAATTGATCCCTCAAAATTATTTAGGTCCCAAAGTTGTTAATTAATCTAAATATTTAAAAAAAAAAAAAAGAAAAGAAATGCCAGCTTTCAATGCATATTCTATAGAGCTACCAGGTAAGCAAGATCAGCGAAACAGTTTAGCGCAATTTGACGTCATTTTAATTGTGACGTTATTATGTTCAATTGTGACGGCAGTCAAGGGTATTGTGACGTGCCTGAGTCGACGCTGCGTTAAAACGTATGCGCAGATCAAGTAGATCGGGCCTCGTTAAGAACCCTCTCTACACTGCACACTAAAGAGTTCTGAACCTATGGTATTTTTCTGCAATTAGAGTTATCTGCCCTTAGATCTAAATTCTTGATAAATGAAAATTTATAGTAAATTTTCAATTTGTAAGCAATTCAGGTGTTCTTAGAATTTTAAATGGCAAAAAAAAAATGAACATGTTATTTACAAGTATTTTCTCCATGGAAGTAAACGACTGTGAATTCTGTTCTCTAGCTGATACAGAGCTGTGTTTGCACATTTTACCTTAGGGTAAATGCCTCGTACCGTATATTGAATTTTAAATGTAATAATCTCAAATTCAGCACCTTTATTCAACATGATTTTCTCAAAAAAAAAAAAAAAAAAAACATTTTCCAGTGGTGTAGAGAGGGTTCTTAAGATGACTAGAATATTGCGACTTGGCGTTAAAGTTTACGTATGGGACACGGAGACTTTATAAGCCGAGGTCCCGTGAGGCTGTGGATGTGGCACGAAAAAAATCCCTCACTGCCCAATAGCACTCAGTGCAATTCATGCATGTAGTTTGATCTTGAATTAGAAAGGTACATGTACAAAAATGTATCGATAAATAGAAACAGGTGATTTCCATTTAAATACTTGAGTCCCGTGTCGTCGGTGAAGCAGCTGTGACTCTTTCAGATGTTAGTTATGTAATGTCGAGAATGCAACGCCTTACTGAAAGCCCAAGCTTACCTGAGAATTGTCCTAAGATTTACTGAGTATCCCAGTCAAATACTTAGCTCAAATTTAACCCAGTGACAGAACTTTTGGAAAACATTTAATTTTTAGGGTACAATGATGCGAAAATCATACTTATATCTACATGTACATCGTAAGTCTTTACAATTAAACCCTATAGTTTGAAATATCAACTCACATAAATATTTGGGTGTTGCTAAAACGCGGAACGGAAAACGGAACGGAAAGCGGAACGGAACGGAAAACGGAATATATTATTTTGGATTAAATCACTTAAAATACACAAAATTTATCATAAACGATATATTTTGTACATATTCAATCCCCCACTATTAAATACAAGTTGATTTTATCATGCTCAGTCTCTTTTTTTACGAAAATCGCTAACACATAGCAGTCACCTAGAATCGAATTTGAAAAGGGGGGATAAACGAACTTGAAAAGTATTTGACAAGCAAAAACACAAAAAGAAATAATTGTTTGATTCGGGAGGGGGGGGGGGATAACACACAAAAAGAAAACAATTGTTTGATTCGGGAGGGGGGATAGGTTCCAATTCCAGCATCTTTCAGTACTATTTTTTTACACTAACTTACTACATTAATTACATTCACAAAAAGTGTGAGGATGTCAACTTAAACGAACATTTCCGTAGTAAAAAGGTTATGACTGGGGGATCAAATATTTGATATCTAAATGAACCATGAAAGAGAAATAAAATGTAAAAAAAATTATTAAGATAATACGTTTAGGGCAAACCTTTACGGCAAGCCCGAAGAAACATCTCTTATACACACTGGTTGTTAAAATTTTAATCAAAATAGAGACATTTTCTATATATTTAAATTCTGGAAAGACAAAGTTGGAAAACTTTCATGTCATTCAATGAAGTTAAATTTTGTTTGCGGTACATATGTGTGTATGTTTTTTTTTTTTTTGGGGGGGGGGGGTTGTATATGAATGACCCCGTAAAAAATGAGTTTGTTTTCCCACTCATCAGAAAGGTCTGAGAAGTTGTAATAGGTATGCCCCCCTTTTTGTGTCAAAAATATACATAAGGTTTAATAAATCAATTTTTAATGTGACTGTGGGCCCCTACATAGACCCGAAACTGCCACTCCCCCTTTCATGATTCGCGAATTCGACACTGCGCGTGCTTAATCTGAATATCATAAATAGTTATTTTTGTCTTTACAAACATTGACATTGGAAACAAATTGAAAGAAGGGGGGGGGTCAGTAAAAATTTTCCAACATACAACAAATTTGACAAACCAAAAAAAGGGGGATATGCCCTTTGCCCAAACACGAAAATCCTATTTCGTGTGTGTGTGGGGGGGGGTCGAATTTCTTTCATTACCATTTTTTCCACGGGGGGTGTGTTTGACACATAAATATATAATAGTTTAAAATAAATTTTTATCAGAAATGATTTTTACAACAAGAATATTGCTCTTTTATCTGATTTATATCGAATCTATGTTATTTGTTTACAAAAATTTTCCGTTTTCCGTTCCGTTCCGCTTTCCGTTCCGTTTTCCGTTCCGCGTTTTAGCAACACCCTAAATATTTGGCGTTGTTGTCATTTTGATATTTACTTAAAAACTGTAACGTGCAACGCGGCCGAGCTTGGTGTTTGGTGATATGTCTTGTATCACCGAGGCGTTACTCTTAGGTTCGTTAACCTGTTAACTCAGATTTTTGTTGACCAAGTCCAATACTGTAAACGTGGTTATATTGACGAGTTTAAAAATTGACGATTTCTTGTTTACGAAAATTGACGAGTGTTAACTTTGACGAAATATTTAATCAAGAGTTATGTATCTTAATTTGAATTCACTGGGATACAAAGGCAGCGTCGGATTCACTAAAGTTGAATTTTTATACAGACCATCCACAATGTGTAAGATTATTCAAACTACGTAAAGTGTGAAAGATATGATTAAAATAATTGCCCTCTTGTAATTTGTTTTCATTATAAGCGGTCAATTGCCTGAGGTGACAAACTAGGTCAAGCTCGGCGTGATAATTATGCTGAGCTACGCATACAGTATTTGACACTAGTTAATTTAGATTCAATGGTTTTTCTTAAAAAGTGATAAAATTATATATCACTGTGTTTTCATAACTAATTACAAAAGAAATTAAAAGTAACTTTGATCTAGTTTTAATAGGGGAAACCCGAGAAAAGTAAGCGGTAACGTTGTACAATGGCAATTGTCTGTTGTGACGCTATATATATGATGTGAAGTTTGACGAGTGTAAATTTTGACGAGAAAAGAAAAATCGTCAATAAAGTCAAAATTAGCACACCGTCAAAATTTCCACGTTTACAGTATATACAATTATATACAGATTTACAATGTAAACAGTTTCTTCTTGATTGGACAACCACTAACTGTGGTCAACGGGTATCTCCCGCAATGAATTTCTCTGGTCCTGCCTCTCTATATGTACTGTTGCATCTTGGCACTTCCCCCACTTCTGTGGTTTGCAACCTCTCCCATTATTAACCTACTGCCTTATGCAGGTCTTACGTAAACGCTAATAATGTTAACCTTCACTGCCTATCCCCTGCAAATGTGTGCCTTATTCAGGTCTAGGAGCATAAACAGACAAGGCTATACAACTACATCACCAGAGAGGTATCATGAGCTTCATCTATTTCATGTAGTATTAGCCCAGAGCAGTCCCAGTACATAAGCAGATTCAAACTGAGAATTAATTAATATTATTAGTGCTTAAGACTTAAAACAAAAACGTAGGTCTAACGTTTT